GGAAATGTTTCTCTTACTGCTTCCTTTAGCACCAGAGTCCTGTTTCTGGCTCTCTCTTGCAGACTGACCAATCTCTTATTCATACAGCCTTGGGGTCTCATCTTGATGTTCATGGTCTGTGTGATAGCGAAATAAGGACAAAGCCTGGGGTTTGTCTCTTGTTCCTTTTCAAAAGTCATTTCAAAGTCACCAAGAATCACAACCCGCTCTCCCGAGTTAAAGCTGCCTATGTGCTGGCCAAGTTTCTTATTTCCTCTCACCTTTTTTTTCCTGTCTCATTTTGGTCTTTGAACTTTTTTCTTTCCTCTCTCTCTCTTCCTCTCTCTCCCTCCCTCCCTTCCTTTTTCTTTTTTTCCCAGCTCAGTTGTGCGTATATCATGTTTATCTAATATAAACTAATCCCAGTAGGAGGACATTTAGAATATTTTCTTGCCATCTGTCAGAAGTGGGCAAAGGGATTTTGTTATCACCAATCTCTTCAATTGCGTGGTGAAGTTTAGCACTACGCAGTTTGACAAAGTGCTTTTGTGTTTATGTTATTGTGTGTATGCATCGAAAGGTCTTCCATGTGGGTTCAGGAGAGGCACTGATCAGTGCCATAGACAGCCAGCAAATAGTGTGGGAGGTCAGAGGAGAGGTCCAGCCCCAGCAGTAAAGACACAGTATGGCAGTGGCTCTGAGGAGAGGATTTAGGACCCACGTGACAGAACAAGGGTCTCTTCTTGTCTCTTTCTGAGGATGGGGAGGTTTAGGCTCTCTGATTTCCAGGAAGAAGGCAGAGAAGAGGGATGGAGTCAGGATGTGGGGCCACCAATAGCCACTTTGAGGTAAACGCACTTCCCTGGGCCAGAGATGCTGATACTCTGCTCATCGCATTTTATGTGAATGGCATTTGTCTGTAAATGTGCATGTGCACCATGTGTGTGCAGTGCCTGAGGAGGCCACAAGAGGGAGATAGATCCCTCTGGAGATGGACTGAAGACAGTTGTGAGCCACCATGTGGATGCTGGTATTTGAACCCCTGTCCTCTGGAAGAGCTGCCAGTGCTTTTAACCACTGAGTCACCTTTCCACCCACCTTCCTTTCTTTTTAATATTAATATTTATTTAAAATATAAAGATAAATGGGAAACCAATATCACGGTATTGCAGAGACCTGTTAAGTGCCACTCACATTAACTCTGTAGGTGGGATGTGGGGTCGCTGTTGTAACTCCCCTCTGTGTGTTTACGAGACTCTGACTACAGTTCCTTGGGCTTATGGCTTTAAGGGTGTGTAGCATTAAAATGGTCTCAATTCCTGGGGCGCTCACCTCTGCAAACATCCGTGGGTTATAGCACTGAAAACAGAAAACCCAGCCTGAGATTTGCGTGTAAGATGTCTGATTTTTTTTTTTTTTACATTGAACCTATTTTTCCTGCAGCTATAGAAATTCCACAGATGCTAGGTGTGCTCCCAGTGGCATCCCCCAGTGGTAGCCCCTTGGGATGTGCTCAGAAAAGCAGCCTCGGTGTTTCGAGGGCCCTCCAGATCCTTATCACCGTGTCTGTCTTTCCCGTGTCTGTTTGGCCCCTTTGGGGGTGCTGCTCAGACAGCAAGCAGTGCAGTCTTTGGCTTTCCCTGCAGTGTAGTTTCCTGTGCTCTGCCTGATGTTTGTGCATCAGTAGTTGGCTCCCTGTTTTGTGTTTTGAAGCAGCTTCCATGGCACAAGTGTGCCGCACTGTATGTCACCATTAGCGCTTTGACAGACATCTGGGGCCTTTCCAGTCTTGAGAATTACAAGAGGAATTGCTGGAAAGAGGCTTTTTACAAATCCTGCCTCTAGAGTGACTGTCCAGGTCAAGCAATTGCCAGGTTTAATTTTCCTTTTTAGTTGTCGATTTATTTATTTATTTATTTATTTATTTATTTATTTATTTATTTCTGCAGTGCTAGGGATTGCACCCCCACCTTTGCATGCCAGGCAGAGGGCCTGCCGCTGTGCTGCACCCCCAGACTTTGGCTTTTGATGTGGAGTTCTACATACAGCATGGACTGGCGTGAAACTCACCACAGTCCTGTTTCTGCCTGTGCTGCAGCACACACTCCTGACTTTTAAAGACACCAAGCTGGTTTACAGCATCGTTATCCTATTCATACCCCACTGTCAAGGTGTGGGTGATGCAACTTCTCCCCAGTTCACACCCCGCTGTCTAGGTGTTGATGATGTGGCTTCTTCCCATGATACACTCCCCACTGTCAAGGTGTGGGTGATGCAACTTCTCCCCAGTTCACACCCCGCTGTCTAGGTGTTGATGATGTGGCTTCTTCCCATGATACACTCCCCACTGTCAAGGTGTGGGTGATGTGGCTTCTTCCCAGTTCACATCCTGATGTCTAGGTGTGAGTGATGTTACTTCTCACCACCCCAATTGGTTCTGACTCTCCCTCTGGGATGTTGTATTTTAGCTGTTCTGATAGGTGTGCAGCAGTGTCTCATTTGTGGCTTAATTTGCATTTCCCTGCTTTCTGTGGTAGTGAATTTGCTGGCCATTCATCCTTTTTGGTACAGTGTCTCCGTGCCTTCGATGTTAGATCAGCCTTCGACAGTGGACTTCACCTCATGGTCACTCTCTAGACAGCTTGTAGTTTGTGTTTAAGCTGGTCCATTGAGTCAGTTGTCCATGGTGTTGGCTGATGTTGAGGTTCCCTCGTGATTTTCTGAGTGGCTGTCCAGTTTCCCAGGCTGCCTGTGACACCGAGTCTCCCTGTGGCTTTGTCCCGTTGGTCGGACCCACTTTTGGGTGCTGTTTGTGGCTGTCTTTATGTCTGGCCATGACCATCAGCTCTTTCTCTGTAGTGAGATCTCCTTGTGTTCTTGAAGCAGCGTTGTGTAGTCACACACAGTCCCAGCCTCTATGCGCCCTCATGCTAGTCCATCCATATTTGGGAATCTCACATCAAAGGTGCCAGAGGAGTGGGCCTTCAAGTACAGGACTGTGAGTGTGGATTTTCTGGGGTTTGCTTTACATTGTTTGCAGGTTAATAGCTAGGGATTCACATTTAGGATTGGTGCATGTGCACGTGTGTGTGCATGTTATGTATACATGCACATGTGCGTAAATATATATGAATATGCATATCTACATAATATATGCATGCAGATATGTATATGCACACATGTATCTATTTAAACACAAGTATGTATTCATGTTTGTGTTCATGGTGCATGCATATGCATGTGTGAACATGCCTATGTGTCTATGTTTATGATGTATGAGTGTATGTATATGTGAACATGCATATGCATACATGTCCACACATGATACATGCACACATATACACACGCACATATGTGGACATTTATGTGTATACATGTCTAGTCCATGATGTATTCATGTATATATGCACACATGTGTCTCTGTGTATGCAAGTGTATGTACATACACACCTATGTTTATGATGTGTATATGAACACATATGTGCATATATGCCTGTATAGACTATATGTATGCATGTGTAATCTATGGATGATACATTTATGTATATATATGTATAGGTATGTGTGTAAGCAGTCTGTGTATATGATGTATGTATATATGTATATGTGTGTACATATATTGTTGCTGAATTGGCTTGTTCACTGTGATGCAAAGTTTCATTGGCCTCTGATCAGTTTGGTTTGCTCAGACGTCTTTGCTATCAATACAGCTGTCACTGATTTCCATTTGCTGCCGTTGTTACAACTTTTCTCATCTTTTACACTCCATCTACCAGTTTTACTAAACTTTTATGTGAGTTTCTTGTAGGCAGCTTATAGTTGGGTCATGCTTTGTTTTAATTCTACTCTTCCAGTCTCTGTCTTTAAATTGCTGTGTTTATGTCACTTATATTTAATGTAACTATTAAAATATTTGCTCGTGTGTGTGACAATTGACTTTTGTTTTCTGTTTGCCTTAAATTCCTTTGTTTCCTTCTTACTACCTTGGAGTTTGCTGAACATGCGATTCCCTTTGACCTTTTTCCATGTGGTGTTACTGAATTCTTCTCTTGCATAGATTTTGTTTAGTAGTTGCTCCTAGGTTTTTATACCAACTTGTCAGAGTCCATTAGTGTCATCATTTTACTAGTTCAAGGGTGGTCTGGAAAATTTCTCCCTTTCAAATGCTTTATTTTTATATAATTGTCTAAATGTCGTTTTATATTTTTGCCTTAGCCATCAAACATAACTGAGAAGACATAGTAGAAGGAGGCTGTCCACTTTGCGCCTGCGTTTGCCGCGTTCTCTTGCTTTCCTTCCTACACGCCAAGCTTTCTCCTTAGAATCATTTACTTTCACCATCCTTCAGGCTAGTTTGTTAGCGACCAGTTCTGGGCACTGACAGTTTCAGAGGATTGGGGACTTAGTGGCCGTCAGTGAAGACAAGAAAGAAGGCAGAGGAATGACTTCACACTGGGGCAAACACCTCAACTACATAAACATTTCAGATATGAAACACGCATTGTGGCATATCCGTGTAATGGAATATTATGTTAGAGCAGAGAAAATGCATGGTCAAATCTCAAATGTGGGAATCCAAGAGGCCAGGGGAAGATACCCAGAATACGGCTGCATGGACATAAACGTTAGAGACTGAGAACTGCAGACGGGTGGCCGAGAGAAGGCTGTTGCCTGGGGTTACCCACAGAACAGGAAAAATGCTGGAAACTGAGGGTGTCTTGGTTACAGACACTGTCCAGATGTGTCTCACTGCGGGCTTTACAGGGCTGGTAAGATGGCCCAGTGGGCAAGGGAGCTGGCCACCAAGATGACCCTGCAGCAGAGGGAGAGAACCTGCTCCTCTTCCTCACGCGCTGTGGCGGGTGCACCCACACTGCCAAGAAGAAAATAAGAACTTACAGTTTACTGCTTCTCAGGTGAACTTTGGTGTAGCTGTCTAAAGGTGCCATGTTAGCCCGTGTTCCCACAATGCAGGCGGAGCCCCGCGAGGCACCCTGAAGTGACACCCCTTCTCGTTACAGGCGATCACACTCTTAACGGAATTAATCCGGGAGAACTTCAGGAGCAGCAAGCTGAAGCAGTGCCTCCTGCCCACACTTGGGCAGCTCATCTACCTCGTTGCCACCCAGGTGAGGCTGCCCGCTGAACTTTGGCCCCTGTGAACCTCCCATAGACACCCTTCTCCTCTCCCCTTAGATACTGTCCACTTCTGGGGAAGGGATCTCCTGTGATCCTGGTGTCCTCTCCTGTCCCTCCTGTCCCTCCTCCGTCCTCCACTCCCTCTTTAGCTTAGGAGAGTCTCAGCGTATTTTAAAACGAAGGGACTAAGGTTGTTGGTGTTCTCGAGTCCTTTGGGAGGAGACAGTGTTGCCTTCCCACAGTAAGAAAACCCCAGTTTAAATGAGACTGCTCCGTGCAGACGTGCGCATGACTATGGGAACTTTCCATGGCAGGATGGGGAAGTGCAACTGAAGTCAGTGGTCACAGCTCACACTTGTGAGTTTTAGATAACTGTGGGATGTCACAGCTCACACTCATGAACATTAGAAAATTGTGGGTTGCCACATCTCGCACCTGTGAGCTATACATGTTTGGACAGGTTTCTCTCTGTATTTTTAAAGTTTTGTTTCCCCAACTTTCCTGTCTCTAGCCCGCCTTGCCCTGCTGTGCCTGTGTATCTGTGTACACACTTTCTCCCATGACACCTGTATTTCTCTCTCAGGATGACCTGGCCAGGCTTCCCTGGCTCCCGAGTGGCCTGCACCCTCTCCAGCCTCTTCCCCTCCTGAACTTTCTTTGTAACCCCCATCTCTATCCTGACGTATTTATTTCCTTTAGAATATGTTTCTGTCTCGTTCTTTCTTCAGCTCTGTCTTGTGGTTGCATGTTCGTTTAGAAGTCTCAGGTCTAAGTATGTTAGTTAAGTGTCCTCTTGAGGGCTGGGGATAGAGCCCAGCAGGTGTGGGACCCTGGGATCAATCCCCAGGACCACAGATGAATCAGTAAATGAGTACACAAATGAGTCAAGGAATATATGTATTGTGTGCAGGCCCTGGAGTGGGCAGGGAGGGCTGAGGAGGCTGCAGAGGTGGGGTGATGGAAGACCACCATGGCCCAGACAGATGCCTCACCCCAAGAACACTGAGAACTCGTAGGTGTTATGACAGCCTCTTAGCTCTGCTCTGGTTTAAATGAAGGGAATAGATAGAGGACTCCCAGGTTCTAGGAGAATGAGCCAGGGAGGAGCAGTAGTGGTCTCTGAGCAGAGGGAGCCTCGCTGGGGCTAAGGCCATCGAAGGTCTAAGAGGACTGAAGAGAACCCACTGGGTGGTGACGGGAAAGCCTCTGGGAACTTGGGTCTGGGAAGATGGAGAAATGACTTAGCTCAGAAGCCACATAAATGCCAGCTGGGTGTGGTGGGAGATGGGGTTCCCAGAGCAAGCTTGCTCATGAGGCTAGCTGGATCGGTGGACTCTGGGTTCAAGTGAGAGATGCTGCCTCAGCGTAGAAGCCACAGACTCGGGAAAGATGGCCGACAACCTCTGGCTGTCACGCCTGTATGTATGTGAACGTAGACAAACACCACACTCGGCACACATCACAGAATGGTTGGTGACCACAGTCTGTTTATGTATTCTTACCTGGAGTGGGGTACAGAGTCAGGTGAGTGGGCTGAGGAGACTGAGAAGCCAGCACACGGCGGTCATCTGAGGTGATGGAGAAGGAGGTGGCGCCTCCTGGAGCCCAGGGGCCTGCAGCACACTATGTAGCTGAGGGTGTCTGGAGAGGGAGACAGTCAGCCTACTGAGGTGGAGACGAGAATCAGTGGAGGGGGACATATTGTGTCCAGGAGTGATAGAGGATCTGCTGTCCATGGGCCTGGAGAAAGCAGACTGGGAATGTAGCCCTGAGCCAACGTGGACGGAGGTATTAGTGGGGCTGTCCCTCAGGACACTGGAAGCTTCCCAGTGTGTGTGTGTGTGTGTGTGTGTGTGTGTGTGTGTGTTAGTGGGGTCTGTCCCTCAGGACACTGGAAGCTTCCCAGTGTGTGTGTGTGTGGGAGTGGGGTCTGTCCCTCAGGACACTGGAAGCTTCCCAGTGTGTGTGTGTGGGAGTGGGGGCTGTCCCTCAGGACACTGGGCATCATGTAGAGCTGTGCTTCCCAGCGTGAGTGGCATGTGCAGAGTGAACATGGTTGTGTCTTTCTCACTGGTCTCCCCGAGGAGGGAACACTGCACCAAGTGGCAGGAGGGTCACAGGTTAGACACAGAAATAGAGATGGTCAGATAACTGGAAAAGCCAGAGAGTGGGGTCCAGGTGCCGAGGGTGCTGATCATACTTTGCTCATGGACTCTGACCTGTGGTGTCTCCTCAAGCAGGAACCCCGCTGCTTGAGCCTAGACCTGGAGGAAGCAATAACCATCTGCCTGCACCCTGGACTTCCCAGTAAGGGCAAAAGTATGGCCAGGAAGGAAGGCATTTCAGGCTTTTGACAGGAGTGGAGAATTGTAGGCCAGGTGATCCCAGTGGCTGGGGATGGGGGTCTGTGGAAGGAGGAGCGAGGGCAGGGGGCAGATGGACTGGGGTCACCTCTGTCTTCCCCCTCCCAACACAGTCTTTCCTCCCTTTGCTTTTCTCCGCTCCTTGTCTAAGGCTTGTATAGGGTGAGTGGCCCGGCCTTGACTCTCGAGGCTGCTGGAGCCTGGGTTTTCACCGTGGTCACTCTGGTAGCAGTTGCGTGTGCAGCATCTTCACCTCACTCCAAATAACGGGTGCTGCTCAGTGGGCTGGGGACACAGGCTGCACACGGCAGCAGGAGAACCCGGGTCAGGAGCCAGTGGTGATTTCTCCGGGACCTGGACAGCTTCAGATGTGGGTTGGAGGCTTCTGCTCAACGGGTGAAGATCTTTTGGCGCCATCTTCACTGTCTTCCCTCACCTTCCTTTTTTAGGAAGAAAAGAACCAGCACCCCAGGGACTGCTGGACTGTGCCCTTGGCTGCGCACACCGTGCTGATGAGGTGCCTGCGGGAAGGGGTAAGGAGCCTTTGTTCTCCATAGACCAGGCACCTGCAGTCGCCCTCCAGGCGAGCACAGCCTGCAGCAGTCAGGGTTGCTTGTAAGCTGAGTGTTGCTCCTGAAATTAAATAACCTGGGCAAGCTGGCATCCTTGTTTGTTTAAGTGCCCTGTTTAAAAGATGATTGGAAATCCAGGTATGGTGGTACACACTTTTAAACCTAGCACTTGGGAAGCAGAGGCAGGTGAATCTCTGTAAGTTCCAGGGACAGCCAGGGCTACACAGAGAAACCCTGTCTTGGGAGCCGTGGAAGATGATGGGAAATATGGACAGCATGGCCTGACCATCTTCTGCAGCAGAGGTTGTTAACCTGTTAGCCAGCAGAGGGTGGCGTGTCAGGAGTCCTGCATATCATTTGTTTACATTATGATTTGTAACAGTAGCAAAAGCCATGAAGTAGCAAGGGAATAATGTTACGGCTGGGGTCACCACAGCAAGAGGGACTGGACTGAGGTCACAGTGTTAGGAAGGCTGAGAACCACTGCTCTGTAAGATGCTGTTAATTACCCTGTCTCTGTCCCAGATGTTTCCAGGGCAGCCCGGCAGGCAGATGTGCGGGCCCTCTGTGAGCCCCCTGCCCCATGAGGAGCTTGTTGCTGTTGTCCCGAGCTCCACACGATGGCCACCCTGTGACCCATTGTCCTCTAGCTCCATGTCACCGTGCAGAGTGCTTAGAAACTGGCCTGGCAGGTTGGTGGCCTCTGTCTGTCCAAGGAAAAGCCAGAGGCTAAAGACATTAATTACTACAAAAATGTGTCCTGGGTGTGTGGAGTCTTGTTTGGACAGATAAGGGGTGGCACTCATTGTCATCAGGGGGCAGATTATATGTGGCCACTGGTCTCATTGAGACTGGCCATTGGGGGTGGGGACTCTCAGAGGTGTTAGAAGTCAGGCTTTGTGTGGGTATTGCAGGTCACTAGGGTGGGCTCTGTGTCTGTGAGAGAGTGGGCGTGGGCATTGCAGGTAACGGGAGAGCCTCATGGCTGTGAGAAAGTGAACGTGGGCATCACAGGTCACTGGGGTGAACTCTGGCCATGAGACAGTGGGCGTGGGCATTGCAGGCGATGGGAGAGCTCCGTAGCTCCACTGTGAGAGAGTGGGTCCTCTGTTTCTTATTTTTGCCTTTCCATCTCTGTGTGCAAGTTTTGCAGATAACCTAACATGGAGAATACTATTTGATAGCCCTGACGTGTTTTTTTTTTTTTTTTAAAGATTTTTTTACTTATTATGTATACAGTGTGTTCTGCCTGCATGTACACCTGCAGGCCAGAAGAGGGCACCAGATCTCATTATAGATGGTTATGAGCCACCATGTGGTTGCTGAGAATTGAACTTAGGTCCTTTGAAAGAATGGTCAGTGCTTTCAATTGCTGAGCCATTTCTCCAGCTCCATGAGAATACTATTTGATCACTAAATTATTACTAACAATTTGAAAATATGGATAAAGTTTTGTGTTTTAGTAACACACTTGCTTCTTTTTCTTTCTTTTTTTATTGATTTTATTGAGCTATACATTTTTCTCTGCTCCCCTCCCTGCCTCTCCCCTTCCCTCCAACCCTCTCCCATGGTCCCCATGCTCTCAATTTACTCAGGAGATCTTGTCTTTTTCTACTTCACACATAGATTAGATCCATGTATGTCTCTCTTAGAGTCCTCATTGTTGTCTAGGTTTTCTGGGATTGTGATTTGTAGGCTGGTTTTCTTTGCTTTATGTCTAAAAGCCACTTATGAGTGAGTACATGTGATATTTGTCTTCCTGGATCTGGGTTACCTCACTCAAATATAATGTTTTCTAGATCCAGCCATTTGCCAGAAAAATGTCAATATGTCATTATTTTTTTTCTGCTGTGTAGTACTCCATTGTGTAAATGTACCACATTTTCCTTATCCATTCTTTGGTCGAGGGGCATTTAGGTTGTTTCCAGGTTCTGGCTATGACAAACAAAGCTGCTATGAACATAGTTGAGCACATGTCCTTGTGGCATGATTGAGCATCCGTTGGATATATATCCAAAAGTGGTATTGCTGGGTGGGTTTTGAGGAAGGTTGTTTCCTAATTTTCTGAGAAATTGCCATACTGACATCCAAAGGGGTTGTACCAGCTTGCATTCCCACCAGCAATGCAGGAGTGTTCTCTTTACCCCACATCTTCTCCAGCATAAGTTGTCTTCAGTGTTTTTGATCTTGGCCATTCTTACAGGTGTAAGGTGGAATCTCAGAGTTATTTCTATTTTCATTTCTCTGATGGCTAAGGATGTTGAACATTTCCTTAAGTGTCTTTCAGCCATTTTAGATTCCTCTGTTGAGAGTTCTCTGTTTAGGTTTGTACTCCATTTTTTCTTTATTGGATTATTTGTTCTTTTGATGATAAATTTCTTGAGTTCTTTGTATATTTTGGAGATCAGTCCTCTGTCCAATGTGGGGTTGGTGAAGATCTTTTCCCATTCTGTAGGCTGTCGTTTTGTCTTGTTGACCATGTCCTTTGCTTTACAGAAGCTTTTCAGTTTCAGGAGGTCTCATTTATTAATTGTTTCTCTCAGTGTCTGTGATACAGGGATTATATTTAGGAAGTGGTCTCCTGTGCTGATAAATACGCTTGTGTTTTTATACCCTGAATTATATGTATTGTGTGTGTGTGCATGTAAACATAAGACTTGACATGTATATGTGTGTCAAGATTTGTTATAATTTATGAAGATTCTCTGTATTGGAGAAGTAGTTCAGTGTGGTTTTGGCAGTGAGAACCCCATTTTCCTTGCCTGCACTGACTACCTGCCACCATTTGCCCCACTGATAGAGTCCTTGCAGAATGTGACATGGGACACAGGTGTTCTCCCAGAGCTAGGGTGCAGTGGTCCCTGGGATAACAAAACTGCCTGATGCATCCAGGACCGATGTAAATCCAGTCCATACCAATGTAAAATTTTCATTGCTATATCATATCTTCCTTATTTTTTTTAAAAAAGAGATTGACTGGCCATTAACAATTTATACCCAACCCCTTTTAAATGAAAACAAACATTTATAAATAATCATTTTGGGAGTTTGGGCATAATTTTCTCCAAAGTACTTTCTGCTTTTTGTTGGGCGAAGTATTTTTATGATTCACAGAGAACTTTCAGAGGATCTTGTTTCATCAAACTATGGTACCTTGGAAGGAACCACAGGTTCTTATCTTTTGTGGAAACAAAAGCAGAACCTTTTTTCTAAAGTAACATATCCTTAGACTCAGATTTTCAAGACCTTTATGTTGGGTTAACTTAGGAGCTCCCACAACCAGATGTCTCTCTGCAGTCAAAAAATCCAAAGAAAACACAATAGTATACATAATCCCAACTCTCTGTGTATTTTTCATCTTTACATGGCTTATTTTCTCTATTAATTTTTAATATTTATTTTGTTATCTTTACTCCTTTAATCTATGACTCTCTGTAGTCTTGTCTATACTTTTCTCTCTCTCTCTCCCAAGCCTACGTACATTTTTGAAACATACTGTGACCTGTTTAGAGATTTATTTTTGTCTGAATCTTATTTTTGCTTATCTGCAATCATTTTCGGACCAGGAACACTTTTAAAATGGTAAGCAGCTTGGTTGCAGTGGCCCTGGATGCTGGCTCTGCCTCTCTCAGCCTTTCAATATGATGGAGGTACCTTTACCGCCAGCTGTGGGACTTCCAGGTGGGAGCTGCCCTCACCACCTCAACTCTAGGAAGCACTTGGCCCATGCTAACACCAAGTAACTTGCAGCAGGCTGCCCACAAACCCCATTTAAGTGCTAGGCCTCCTGAAAGAGCCAGAGCTGTTCGTGCAACTGGCATGAACCAGGAAGCCTTCTCTTAAAGGAGCTGCGGTACCCCCCCCCCCCACTGCCGGCAAACAGAGCCCATCCCTACCCCAAATGCGGCTACCAAGAACCTGTGCTAAACTCTGTTCTTTTGCGTCTAGTTGCGTCTAGATTTCCTTCCCAGCTCTCCCTGGTTTTATGTGGATGTAGTTGCCCCCTATTGGTGCACCATTTTGTAGAAGGAGACTGCTTGTTCATTTCTCAGCCGCCCAGACCCAAATAATAACACAGAAAATATATTAATACAACACTGTTTGACTGATAGATTATGCATATTTCTAGCTAACTCTTATATCTTAAATTATCCCATTTCTAATAGTCCATCAATTACCACAGGGTTGTGGCCTACCGGTAAGGTTCTGGTTGGCAGTTGGCGTCATTTTCTTTGGCAGCTACATTGCATCTCCCTGACTCCACCTTCTCTCTCTCTCTCTCTCTCTCTCTCTCTCTCTCAGAGATTTCTCTGTTCGGATTTCCTGCCTGGCTTTATTCTGTGCCCTGCCATAGGCTGAAACCGCTTTATTCATCAACCACTAAAGCAACACATATACAGAAGGACATTCCACATCAATATTCCAAAAATAATTCTGTGTTTGAAGAAGCTAAGGTCATAAGACTCAACTCTTGTCTTGTTTTCTCACAAGCACTCAGAATTCTCTACACAGCTTCATTCTTGGAATGTGTTCTGACATCTATTCAATACTCCATCTAAATAAAACAAGTATTTCTAGTTAAAATAAACACTGTGGGCAGAGGCTTCTTCTGGACCAGAGCACAGGCATCTATCCCAGCTCTTGGGGAAAATGCTCCACTTCTCACAGGTGTGCTCCTCAGCTGAGGAATCCTGCTGGGTCATAGTGACTCAGAGCTGTGTTTTCTCTGTTTGCTGTTGAGTGAGGGCTGCCTGGTTTCTGGGAATGTCCCCTTTTCTTTATTCAAAGATTTCTTCTAAAGGGAGACTTTATTTTAAATAACAAGGAAAACTTTTATTGATATCTTTATTATAGCTTTCTTTATTGTATTGTCAAATGTTCAGTAAAACAAAAATCTCTAAACAAACCCAGTTATGGTTTTTCCTCATGACTTTCCCATGTTGAAGATGGGGCCGCATGCCTACAGGGCATGGTGGTACTCACCGCATATACTGCTCCACATTCATGCCAGCTGCACGGATGTGTCCCTCCGTGTGAGTTCTTCTTCCTACGGTGGGCTACATTTGTAAAGTTCTTACCATTGGAGCCATCTGAAAAGCAACAAGATGACAGCTCTAACTGAAGGATTTCCCACATTTATTAAGTTCATAATTTTCTCAAAACTATTTGTTTCGTGAAAAACCGAGCCACCTGGCTATTGATCTTTCCATATTTATTACACTAATCAATACTAATTTTAGAAAGGTTTCATGCTTAGTGGGGCCCAAGTATTCTCTGAATAGTCAGTCACACTCTAGCTTTAGAAGGAGCTCTCTTAGCCGGGCGGTGGTGGCGCACGCCTTTAATCCCAGCACTCGGGAGGCAGAGGCAGGCGGATCTCTGTGAGTTCGAGACCAGCCTGGTCTACAAGGGCTAGTTCCAGGACAGGTTCCAAAGCTGCAGAGAAACCTTGTCTCGAAAAAAACAAAANAAAAAAAAAAAAAAAAAAAAAAAAAAAAAACCAAAAAAAAGAAGGAGCTCTTTTCTGTGTGCATTCTCATAAACACAACAAGGGGGGGGGGAGCCTGCTGAAGGTTTCTCACATTTAGCATATTGGTTTTTATTTTAAACTAAATTCTTCCGTGCTTTGCTGTGTTACTTTCCTTTGTTGCTCTGATAAATCCCCACCGGTGAAGCCTGAGGGAGGAAGGGTTTGTTTTGCCTTTGGTTTGAGGGCATGCAGTCCACCCAAGCAGGGAAGGCATGGTGGCAGGCAGTTCCACAATGATGGGAACTTGTGGCTTGGACTCCTCAATTTTTTACTTCTCAGTGCAGCAGGACGCAGAGAAGGAAGAATTCTGACTTTCTTTTCTTTCCATATTTTCCTTTTTTAACTTTTTTTTTCTCAACCTAAGATCTCAGATCATAGTATGGTATCACTGACTTGAGCAGTAGGACTTTTCTCTTTAGTTAATTGTCTTTGGACATGACATCACAGACTTGTTCAAGGGTATGTTTCCTAGTTGATTCTAAATGCAGTCAGTTGACCGTGAGAAATTAACGATCATATTTGCTTAGAGTTGATACCCTCGAAACCTTTCACATCTGTTGTCCTTCTACAGCAGACTTTCCTGTGTGGTTTCTAACATGGGCCTTCCAGCTGCAGCGTCTTTAAGATTCAGTACTTTTAAATTTTATTTCCAGTATGAGTTCTCTGAAGTCATATAATGGGTGCTCCAGTTGAGACACCTCCCATGATCTCTTGTATGAATGATCTGGGTGAAGAATTCCACTAGAGACCTTCCTGCATGTGTTACATTGGAGGGGTTTATTCCACTGAGTTTGTTCATGTTTTAAGTAGGCCCCCATACTTGCTACAATGTTTCTACTTCTGGCTGGCAACAATGTTTCTACTTCTGGCTGGCAACAATGTTTCTACTGCCTGAGGCATACTTGCTACAATGTCTCTACTTCCGTCACTTTCACAGGATTTCCTTGCTGCATCCATTTTCTTATGTTCAGCTAGATGAAAACAGTCAATAAAGGATCCTCCACAGCGTGACCTCCAGGGCTTTCCTGTGCTATAGTGCTTATCTGTGCTCTGAGGAGTGTCTCACTTACAAAGACCTTCTCAGGTGCTGTGTTATTTACTTTTTTAGTAGTACTGATTTGTGAGGTCCATCAAGGGTGACTAGAATAATATAGTCTCATACCCTTTGTAGCAATGTTGTTTTAAATTTTAAAAAATTATTTGTGTGTGTGTGTGTTTATGTGAGTGGGTGAGTGTGGTGCCCAAGGAGGACAGAGGAGAGCAGAGTGCATTGTATTCCCTGGATCTGGAACTACTGGCAGTTGTGAGTTGCTCAGTATGATACTGGGAACAGAGCTTGGTTTCTCTGAAAGAACAGTACCCTCTCTTAACCACTAAGACATCTCTTCAGCCTTATCCAGAGTATATGAAATATCACATTATCTTTGGATTTTTTTTGCTGGAGTTATTTTTATATCTTCTACTCTTTTCTTAGTCTTTCTTCTTCCAAGTTGAATGCATAGGCTGTATTGTAACAATCACTGAAGATCTTTCCACTAAATCTATTACTTTTTATTAATTGAATTTTTTGTGTGTGCATGTGCATGCATGCATGTGTGTGTGTGTGTGTGTGTGTGAAAGAGAGAGAGAGAGAGAGAGAGAGAGAGAGAGAGAGAGAGAGAGGGCAGAGGACAACTTTAGCTTTCCTTCCTCCAGCGTCACACATTTCTATTTATTTATTTATTTTGAGCCTGAAACTTGCCCTGTATGCTGGGCTGGCTGGAGAGTTGCTCTCAGGGACCCCCCTGTCTCCACCTCCCCAGCAGTGGAATTCTGACCCCACCACCATGCCTGGCTCTTTTCATATGTGTTCTGACAATCAAAAGGCCTCTTACTCCCAAGACAACTCGTCCCTCACTTACTCACCCCACCAACTGGTCCCTCTCCCCAGCCTTGAGTTTTCTCATGCAGAGCTGCACTCTGCTATCTGCTTGGGAATGTTTAAGGAGCAGTCAGAGCCAAAGTGTGACCTGTCATTGAGTGCTGAAGTTTTGCATCATTTACGCATTCACGCTTTTCATTGGTTCAGTCATTCATTCATTGGGTGTATGTGCACACTTGTGGATATCCACGTGCTATGATGTGCATTCCGCAGTCAGAGGACAGCTTGAGGGAACTGGTCTCATGTTCCACTATGTGGGTTCCAGGAATCAAACTCAGGATTGGCGGCGAACACCTGCTGAGCTGGTCCCCTGGCCCCTTTAAGCAGGTCTGTGCTTCCTGAAAACAGTTTGATGGGCTGATGTTCATTTTAATCTGGGTGTGATTTTGTTAGCCTTGTGGGCATGTCTTTGCTAGGACTGTCCGATCCTGTGTTTGAGTGGTGTGCTCGTGCCCAGGGTCCCCAGACCTTTGCAAGCTGGGCTGAGCTCAGAGGGCTGTTCCCATAGCTCCTTACAGTGGACCAGCTCTCTGCTTTTCACACTGCACTGTGTTTCTTAACTTCTGGGTCATTTTCCCATTTGATTTTATTTAAACCAGTTGAAGAGCTCTGCTCTGCTTCCCACTGAGTTCATGGAGGTCGTGCTCTCTGGGTTTGCCAGTGAACCTGTGGCTGTTTGAAGCAGCTTCATAACGATCAGAACATTATCCCGAATATGTCTGAGGAAATCACAATGCAGGTTTCTCACAGTGAAGAAGACCTTTTCCTTGGGGAAGCGGCACTTTTTGACTCTCTCTTCTCTTTGTTCATTCTTCAGGAAGAGCGTGTTGTCAATCACATGGCTGCCAAGATTATCGAGAATGTTTGCACAACATTTTCTGCCCAGGCGCAGGGCTTCATCACCGGGGAAGTCGGGCCTGTCCTGTGGCACCTGTTCAGACACTCCACGGTGGACTCCCTGAGGATAACGGCCATATCGGTAACGTAAAGCATCCTTGGAGGTTGTCCGGGGACACCATGTTTGAGATGTGCCTGAGTGAGGTGGATTTAATGGGAACGGCAGAAATGCTGAGGAACAGCTCAAGAGGCGAATTCTTAAAACGGGCCTAGAAAAGTTTGGGGATTTGTGTGGCGTGACATTCATTCCTGGTTAAAACTCTCTGGAGCTGAGGGTGGACGCCCCTGACGGCCGTGGGTCCCGGTCATGCGTATTCTCATGTTCGACTTCATGGCTCTAACACGAGTGACCAAGCAGCAGGGTTTGTGCCTGCTCTGTTGAACAGGGCCGTGTGGCGTCTGTAGGATGAGGGTACCGGGTACCCGCAGAGTCTGTGATGGATCCATGCTCCTCTTCCTGCAGGCCCTGTGCAGAATCACACGCCACTCTCCCACAGCCTTCCAGAACGTCATGGAGAAGGTGGGACTCAATGCTGTCATTGGCTCCCTGGCCTCTGCCATCTGCAAAGTGCAGCAGTACATGCTGACGCTGTTCGCGGCCATGCTGTCCTGTGGGATTCACCTGCAGCGGCTGATCCAAGAAAAGGTGTGTCTCTGCTCAGCTTCGCTGGAAACAGCGGTCTCCCCATGGCTGTGCGTTCAGCGTGAAATGTCAGCCCCCTAGGCTCAGTTGTCACACCAAGGAGGCCTTCTGACCTTTGCGGACCCTACATGTCCCTCAGAACATTCAGTCCAAGAAGCAAGCAGCCACTTTTGGTGATTAAATAGACACCGGCATTGGCTTCTGCCATCTTGTTTCAGTGAGGAGAAATAGCAGAGCTCCCGGGACGTCCTCCACGCCGCTCAGTTCACCCTGCATCTGTGCAGCCCGGCTCATTCCCGTGTGCTCTGTTTTCCTTAAGGGGGGCTCCCCCACCCCCGTCTCCGTTCTCTCTGGACATGTCCATTCCTCTCTAACCTGCGTCCCCGCTTAGAGTCTTCTGGCCCTGTTTTTGACTTCATCTCTGTTGGGGCTCTTGATGACCTTTAAAACAGCATCCAGTTTGCAGGGTGGCTATGACTGTGTTTGTACCAGCCTGTCTCCACATGTCAGTTCTTGCCCTTCTGAAGAGTGATGTGTGCTACCATCACCTCGATGACTGGCGTGTTGGGAACGCAGGCACTTAGCCCTGCTGCCTCAGTGTCTGCAGGTGAATGCTGTGCCTGCTGACTGATTTGAACCTAATACTTCAGAAGCCTGTGTAAGCATGTGTACGGTGAGGTGCCAGCTGTTAAAAAAGACTGTGCTTGTGTACACATTTGTTAAGTAATGAGTCAAGGCACGCATATTCTTGGGTGTGCAGTATTTCCAAACTTCTTAAACAGAATGCTCCCAACAGCAATCTGTTTGCCTGGCCCAGGGATGGGGAAGTACACTTTAAAATCTGAGTTATCCATCCATCCATCTGTAGGCAGAGGCTGCTTGTTTGTTTCCTGGAAGCCCAGACCTGAAATAATCACACAGAAACTGTATTAATTAAAACACTGCTTGGCCTATTATCTAGGGATTCTTTTTAATTAATGCTTACATCTTAAATTAACCCATTCCTATTCTTTGTATTTTACCACGAGGCTCATGGTTTACCCGTAAGGTTCTGGTGGATGTGCATCTGTCTCCTTTGGCAGCTACATGGCATCTCCCTGACTCCACCTTCTTTTCTCCTCTGTCTCTATTCTGTGCTTCTTTGTTAATCAATAAAGCAGCTTCTTTAACCAATGGTAATAAAACATTTTCACAGCATACAGAGGGTAATTCCATTCCATCCATCCATCCATCCATCCATCCATCCATCCATCCATCCGTAGCAGTAGGCCGCTTGTTTATCCTGGCTGCCCAAAACTGAAATAATCACACAGAAAACTGTATTAATTAAATCACTGCTTGGCTCATTAGCTCTAACTTCTTATTGGCTAACTTATTAATTTAACCCATTTTTATTAATCTGTGTATTGCCATGTGGCTGTGGCTTACTGGCAAGATTCCAACTGGTATCTGTCTCCAGTGTCTCCATGGCTTCTCTCTGATTCTGCCCTTCTTCCTCCCAGCATTCAGCTTAGTTTTTTCTGCCTAGCTAAGTTCTGCCCTCCTATAGGTACAAAGCAGTTTCTTTAGTCATTAATGGCACAGTATACAGAGGGAAATTCCACATCATCCATCCATCCATCCATCCATCCACCCACCCACCCACCCACCCATCCACCCACTCCATCCATTCATCATTCATCCAGTCTGCTGGGCATGGATCCAGGTGCTCGTACACACTAGGCAGTCACAGTTAAGGAAAAGGGTTCATTTTAGCTCATGGTCAAGGGTATGGTAGGCCATGGTGGGAAAGCCAGGGTTAGGGACTCAAAGCCGCTGCTCACATCATCCACAGCCAGGAAGCAGAGAGCCGTGGCTCCAGGCTGCCCTGTTCCTTCTCCATCTGTACAGACCAGGACCCAGGCCCGCGATTGGCTCCACCCACAGTAGGTAGGCTCTTCTAATCCTTCCTGTTTCCCAGGCAGTTACAGACACCAGCAGCTACATATTCGAAAATCTAAACACAGAGCCAAGCACTCGTTGCCTTGATTCCAGTCCAGTGTTGCTCAGAGGCTATGGCTGCAAGCAAGTCCCGCTTGTCAATCTGTGTCAGATTTGCTATTCAGTTTTCAGGTTATGAAATGCTCCCGTCATCGTACAGAGAGAGTCACCCTCGGTAACTTTACTGTGTCTGTGGTCAGAGAGGCTGAGGGTTTTAGCAGAATTATTTTTTAAACTCTCAGTACAATATTGTATAACATTTTTGCAAAATCAGGACAATGAGATGCATTAATTGTTTCAGGCCATGTAACTGTGTTTCCATGTCTCCTAAAGACATGAATAAATGGGTAGATGAAGGGTGATTGCTGACTTCTAATTAGTATCGGTCCTTTCTCTCCCCCAAGTACCAACCAGGTCCCCCACTGCCTGCCTTCTGAGATCAGATGAGCTCAAAGAATTATGACAAAGGCAGGGCCCGTTCTTCTTTTGTTTAAACTTTATTACTGTGTGTAAGTGATTGCATATGCACGTGTGCCATGGCGTGTGTGTGGAAGTCAGAGGCAGCCGTGTGGATCTGGTCCTCCCCTGCATGCATGTTCTAGTGACTGATGTGGGTCTTGAGTTCCTCGCAAGTGCCTACCCACTGAACCGTCTATGGGACGGGCATTGACATTTTGTAGGAGGTTTCTCATTACGGCAGAAATGCAGCCCTAAGTACACAGCTGGGTGGAGCCACACTTACCCAATCGTGCTGACTTACAGCAGGGTGCTTTCCTCTTGAGCATTGAAACTCAATATGTAGACAACGTTTTGGGTGGCATCTCGTAAGACTCTGATGACAGTTAAATGCCTACTTTTGTAGGCCATCTGACACCACACTAGCATGGGAAGGAGGCATTGTCTCCTCACTACTGGGTTGGGCAGCCGTTCAGGTTCCTTGTTGAGGTCTTTGATACCTGACTTGGGGGACAAGTGAGCCCCTTGTGGCACTGGCAAAGGCTTTTGCACTTTGTCTTCTATGATGGGCACCTGCGTTAATGCTGATGTCTGGGGATGGGACTTGCATCACTGACGGGAGGGGATGCAGATGTGGGCTTCCTACTCTGCACCTCCTGGTGACAGTCACACGGAAAGGACGAAGTTTGCTACTGCTGCACGTCAGCAAGCTGTGGATCCCCATCCAGTGTGCTCTGACAGCAATGCTGGGGACGGGGACCCAGCTGGGGAAGGGGGACCCAGCTGGGGAAGGGGGACCCAGCTGGGGAAGGGGGACCCAGCTGGGGAAGGGGGAGGCCCAGCTGGGGAAGGGTTCCTGGTTGTCACAGAGTTGTGGTAAAAGCCCCAGCTTTCCACAGGCTTTCGTTGGCACTGCTTTGTCAGGGGATAGTGTTGGGGTTCCCTGTCATGATCAGGTGAAGTCTGGGACCCCACAGTTCTTTTACTAATGGAACCGGCTGTGCTTTTTATGGTGTTTGGCTGAAACAGAATAGCAGCTGTTTAGTAGTTTTCTGTGTTACAGGGTAACCCTTGTTCCTTTGGCTTTGCATGGACATGCTTGGTTACTTTCTTGCATATGTGTGCATGTATGGTATGCATATTTGTATTTTGTGTGCTCCCTTGTGTGTACAAGGTGGGGATATTTTGTAGCAATTTCCTGGGATTTGAGACAGGCTGGTTAACATTCAGAAAGTAAACAACTCACAAGTCTCAGGAATTCCTGAAACTGACCAGACTCACAAGACTCCTCCATCCCCAAGGTTATAGAAGCAGTAATGATGGCTGAAGGGAGGGCCCTCCAGTCTTTTGAGCAGCCTGCGCCATGCAAAGATGACAGCTTTTCAAAGTCCACAGGTAGGCTGGGCTTTTTGGTGATGCCGTTGCCTTTGAGCTACCATGCTCCTGTCTGTAATTCTTCACACACACTCATGATGCTGCAAGGAACTCCAGTAAACTCACTGCGTCTCCAAGTGGGATGAGGAACTGGAAATCAGCATGAGGAGTAGCCACAGTGGTGGAGACTCAGGCACATGTGGCTGATGAAAAGCTTCAAATATGCATTGGGCAGAATGGCTTAGGCCCCATATGCACCTGTCACAAGCAGTCGAACACACACTACTAATATAATTGATTCAAGTGCATTCCTTTCCCTTTGCAAAATACCCTGACCCCACATCATTGTTCAGTTACTTCCTGATTCACCACGTCACAGAACAGTATTGGCTTAGGTCGTTTTGACATGTACGTGTGCGTGTGCATGCCTGTAACTGTGGTCTGTAGATGAGGTTCCACACCTCAGACCTCAGCTGAAGCACGATGAAGTAAACTCAGAGAGAGAAACTGGGGTTCAACCTGAAGATCCAAAAAGCAAAGCAACCAGTCACTGGCGCTTACCTCAACCGCAGTCTGAGATGGTGAACCTGCCTCCAGGAATCTCAGAATGAGACTGTGTCCGAGAGCTGTCTCCTTCCTCTGGGGCTGGGATGAAGAGTGCACCACTACTGCCTGGTTTCTATGGCAAGCTAGTGTGCCTACTGGGATTAAAGGTGTGTTGTTACCACTGCCTGGTCTGTAAGGCTGACCAGAGGGGCTGTTTTACTCTCTAATCTTCAGACAAGCTTTATTTATTTATTTATTTATTTATTTATTTATTTATTTATTTATTTATTTATTTAGTTTTTCAAGACCAGGTTTCTCTGTAGCTTTGGAGCCTCTTGTGAAACTAACTCTTGTAGACCAGATTGGCCTCGAACTCACAGAGATCCACCTGCTTCTGCCCCTGAGTGCTGGGATTAAAGGCGTGCGCCACCACTGCCTAGCAAGCTTTATTAAAATACAAATGAAATGCCACTAAACTCAGCATGCATGTAGAGGTCATAATACAACTTGCAGGAGTCCAGTCTCTGCTTCCACCATGGTTCCTGGGGGTCAAATCATCAGCGTCAGCTGCAAGCACCTTTAACCATCTGGCCGGCCCTGTCGGCCCTTGATGTCCGTCAGGCTCCCAGTTTCTTCATTGTCTTACA